ACCATTTCGTCATCGATGCGCCATGTTTTTATTGCGTAGAGAAAGAAGTAGTGATGCCATGCTTAGAATTTGTTATACTTCCGGAGTTACCGAATTGTGACTGTATCTTCTCGATTTTTTTAAAATCGATGAGAAGGATAGAAACGAAAGATTTCTGTCATTCTATCAGCTTCAATAAACAGATTCAGCATATTTATCACAGCACTCACTTTTCAAAATTTGGTTTTCGTATTCTTTCAAATACCATGGAATAATAAGTTTTACAATACCATTTATATAACCTATTTCTACAAATGTTTTGATCTCACAACTTTAATTTGTACCGTTGTCTTCCATTCGTCATTCATGCAGGTATTTTAATTTTTATCTGGCTTCGGCCGAGGATATCTGGCGTTTCTCAAGAATGTCGTTGAGTGATGGTCAGACTGATTTTCCAAGTCAATCGCGGCCTGAATCAGAGTAAGCTTGCTAGAGACATGTCTGGTACCAGTTTGCCGAGCCCGAAGGGATGGCACACTTGATTGGGCCAGGACTGAGTTAACACAACTATTGTATAACGTCACTCAATATTACGCGTCCTTCGCCATTTTAGTACAACGGATCTCCTTTATTGCTTTTTCCTCAACCGGTTAGCGATGAGGTTGCGTATTGCGACACAGGGCGGATTCAAAGTGAACAAGAAACGATTTCGCCTTTGTTGCTGAAATATTTACTTCATACTTGGTACTTCAATGGTCCGTCCTCACTGGTTGTGCAGAACCCAACATAACCTCCTTTTTCGGAGACTTGCTGGTTAAGAAATTGTGGTTTCCTGGAATATCGAGGTCAGCCTGGCCAAAATCTGCCCCAGGTCTTTACCACCACAAGCAGTCGCAGCCCATGTGGCTCAAAGGGAAATTTGCCACAATGCGACTAGTTTGATCCTAGGAGGGTGGTGGATACTAGCATTGGTTTACGGTTAGCTGGGCTTCCTGGTGGAAACGCCGGACTCCTTCTCAGCTTGGGAGACCCTCTGCTGAAATACTGATACACCTAATGGATGAGTGTTGCGTCTGCCGAACCAGTTTCTGTCTTCTATTACACACGTGGATTTGTTCAAAAGCCAAAAATCGAGTGACATATAATTGATATTGAATGATATTGGGTGTTGCTCAATGTAGCATCTAATAACTAGGTTCCTGATGCGTTCTAGATAAGCTCAGTAATTTACCACACTTTTACTAACAAAATCGAAACATAATATAAAAAGCTCAACCAACAAGACCACAACGTTGTTAACAAGCTGAGAATTTGAAAGTGACCAAAACACTCCGGCTTCAAGAAACTCTGAAACTAATTGCGTACTTAAAGGCCCAGAAGCCGCAACAAACCGCCAAGTTGCGGAGGAACTTCGAAGCTCTACAGAGCAACGATTAAAAAAATCGTATGAGAAGAAGGGTAGCACTACTAATAGAAGGCGCAGAGATTAGAAAGAGCTCTCATTTTTCCCATCAACACTTTGACCAATACAAGACTAGATGGCAGTATTACAGGATCCGGTCACGACAGCCAATTTTCACAGTAAGGAGATGGAGAGAATTATCTACCACATCTACACTGATATCTTCGATAGGCACAACATTCTGCTTCTACATCGTTTAATGGAGGTTGGGTATGTCGCCCCAATTCTTTTCCCTCACGAAGTTCGACATACATTTTCACCTGCACTGAACAGCACTTCACGTGATTCAGAGAGGAATAGACTGCAAGATCTGAAGAAAGTACTGCCAGTTCTCATTAAAAAATGATGGTTGAGATTTTCATAGACTACTTGTCGAAATTCAATGTTCTTAGCGAATACAAATCCAACAACGGTTTCATAAGTTTGCTGTTTCTACCCTAGGTTCTTTCCTTGGACCATGTTGAACAAAACTGATAGAACAATGGTACTCCACCATATCCTCATCACGTCAAAGTTATTCACAACGTTTCTTGAGCACTTCATGTGAGACGTTCCGGAATAGGATAACATGAGAGTAGAAGTCGAGGGCCAGAAGCTACGCTGTCTTATTTTTGCCGATGACGTTGTTCTTATTACATCAAGCACTAGGCAGTAACTTGACGATCCATTTAGTTTCAGAGCGCAGGAGGAGAATAAGAACACCTGGACCCATAGAATGTTCGTAAAAGAACATCGAAAACGTAGTGAATATATAGACCCAGCCATGATCCATACCGAGTTTTTCACTCTGCGGTTCTTATTTTATTTTATTTTATTTCACTCGATGAAGTCTACCGTTAGCATGATTATAAATAGGAAGGAAGAAATGTCCAGTAAATGTTGTCAAAATAGCAACCGAGTTCGTAATGCTGAGAATTTACTGTACAATTCAAGTGAAAGGAAGAGAGGGAGAGAGAGCGAAGAAAGGAAAAGAAGGAGGGAAAAAGAGTGATCGGAGGGGAGAATCTCGAAAGAAACCGTAGTCGCTGGACAGTAAGAGTCCAGATAGAGTAGATAGAGTGATACGGCGTGTTAAGAACACTGCAAGGAAGCCACCGAGTCTGTAACCGGATTTTCCTCATCGTTCCTAACATAAAAACTTAATGACATGCGTACGCAAATAGAAGTGTTTATAAAAACATTGTAACCCAAATGAGTCATTTCTTGTTGGCAGTGTCGTAAATGTGTTATATAAAGTAATCGAATCGCTCGACTCATGACGATGTATGCCTGACGACAGATTTACTGAGCTCTGTACTACGAAGTGACATATTTCTACTTAGAATCCCACACACCACACCGGAAACTATGAACTTCGATGTCTCAGAAGAGCCTCATCACTTAATGCTTTCACAAGAATACGTACGTACTCAGTTCACTTCTGGACAAATGACGTGACATGAATGCACTCAAGTCCTTACGACGTTGACGTCATATGACGTCATGTCGCCTCGCATATTTCGAACGTTTCCGCTTAGGAATCCGAATAATACATCGTGGTTGTTGTCGTGAAATTATGTGCCGGCAATCAATTTGTAACGGGCGCTGCCCGGGGTTCGAGCCGACGACGGACGGGTCGCCGACAGCTAGTGAAACGAGGAGGAGCCGCGCCACCGAAGAGATGTCGACGAGTGCCAACGCTCGAGATAGTGAGGACGGACGGAGGGGGTGACGAGTGCTGGCTGGCTGCTAGCTTCGTGGCCACACAGGCAAGACGACGGACGGCGGGCGCCAGCTTATGCCCGAAGAAGCATGAATGAAACGTCCACGCTAATAGCAGCGCGATAGCGCATATCCGTCGTCGCAATGGCTTTCTTTCCCAGTGACGTCATCTCGTCTCTCAGATGTTTTAGCGTCGTCTACACGCCAGTGATCGACACTATCACATACCGCACATCTCTTAGCACTTCTAATGCAGCACCACCTTTCGTCGTCACCACGGTTCTGATGTATATCCCCAAATTCCTATTATGCCTTTTTGTTCCTGTGTATTCCTTCATCATATCAATGACCCATGAATTACCAGGTTATTCAGCATATCCAATAAGCTGCAGAAACAATTTTCGAAACAAATTGCAGACTTCACTATACTTATCGTCAATAACTCATGCACAAAACACATGTCGATGCCATGTATCAGCAAATCTTCGTCAGTACTTGCTGGCATCGTATTCACCAGATCACATCAACAAACCAGTGTCATTATCATTTATTATGGTGAATGCGCCTAACCGTCAACTGATGACAAAACGATGATGTTAACCATTATCATAATCTCCACCAGTCGTCTTCTCCGTCACCATCATCATCATATCATCACCACCATCATCATCGCCATAACCATCATCATCACAACCACCACCGGTGATCAGCATCATCACCACCACCATCGGTGATCATCACCATCACCACCACCACCATTGGTGATCATCATCATCACCATCACCACCACCGGTGATCAGCATCATTACCACCACCACCATCGGTGATCATCACCATCACCACCACCACCATTGGTGATCATCATCATCACCATCACCACCACCGGTGATCAGCATCATTACCACCACCATCATTGGTGATCATCATCATCACCACCACCACCGGTGATCATCATCATCACCACTACCATCGGTGATCATCATCATCACCACCACCACCGGTGATCATCATCACTATCATTACAATCACCATCATCATCACCACCACCATCGGTGACCAGCATCATTACCACTACCATCGGTGATCATCATCACTATCATCACAATCACCATCATCATCACCACTACCATCGGTGATCATCATCACCACCACCACCACCGGTGATCATCATCATCACCACCACCACCGGTGACCAGCATCATTACCACTACTATCGGTGATCATCATCACTATCATCACCATTACCATCATCACCATCGCGATTATGACCACCACCACTATCGGTGTCGTCACCTTCACCACCACCGGTGATCATCATCATCATCACCACCACCACCACCACCGGTGATCATCATCATCACCACCACCATCGGTGATTACCATCATCACCACCACCGCCGGTGATCATCATCATCACCACCACCACCAGTGATCATCATCATCACCTCCACCACCGGTGACCAGCATCATTACCACTACCATCGGTGATCATCATCACTGTCATCACCATTACCATCATCACCATCACCACCACCGGTGATCAGCATCATCACCACCACCACCATCGGTGATACCACCACCACCGGTGATCATCATCATCACCATCACCGCCACCGGTTATCATCATCTTCACCACCACCATCGGTTATCATCATAACTATCATCAACATCAACACCATCACCATTATGTCCACCACCACCATCGGTGATCATCACCATCACCACCACCGGTGATCAACATCATCACCATCACCACCACCGGTGATCATCATCTTCACCACCACCACCGGTGATCAACATCATCACCACCACCACCGGTGATCATCACCATCACCGCCACCGGTGGTTATTACCGTCATCATCGCCGTCGTCGCAAGTAATCGTCGCGTCGTCGCGCCGCCGCACAGGTGCGATCGGTCACCTTGTCCGCGTCGCCGCCTCCCCATCTGCGTCTCTCGCGCGCCGAGCGCGCCCGCAGCCTTCGCCGCCGCCCGTCTTTCGCGCGGCTGCCGCGCGACGCCGCTCCCGCTCGCGCCCGCCACTCCATCCGTTCCTCTCCCATTCCGCTCAGTTGGCCGGCGCCATTCTTCAGATCGCTTTTCTTTCTCCGTGTCAGTGTTGCAACGCTCTATCGATTTGCCCGCACGCCTAAATACCGCCTATTTCTGCGTTTTTCTCTACGACTTGATCTCCTTGCCCTCCCCGTACCCTATCCCTTCGCTGTTGGTGTACTTGGTTTTTCCAGTAATCTCTACTAAGCACTCTTTAAGTTGTGCATCGTGCATATATGAATAATACCAAGTAAATGGCTGTAGTTTTGTAATGAACATAGAATCCCTATAGATTAAGACTATTGTGAATGCTGATATAGCGCGTGAAAACTGATCTGATCGGTTTTCTCCAACTCTTTTTTCGCGCAGATTTTCATATTCTGTAATTCTCCGTGCCTTCGCGTCACGATGATCCAGTCGTAAAATTTTTTCTGTAGCCGTTGATTGACATTACGCTAGAGAGCTGTTCAGTATTCCGTACGAATGTCGTCTAATTTTTGGTGTCGTCGGGTCAAATTCTTGGCGCACCGGTGTCGTTTTGGTACCTGGAGATAGCATCGGTACCTATGAAATCAAGCGCGGTGAAGCACAACAGTATGTTTGAGTGAAAGCTGTTAGAAACAAATAGTAGTGATTGTTTAGTAGATGGCCACGTTAATCCCAATTCCATCCTTACTCGAGTCGTATTTTTGTCCTTTTTTCGTCGTTATATTCCTGGATACTCACCGACGATTCATGTCAGTGTCACGCTCGCCTTGCTTATTTAATCTTATGTTCGCTCGTCAAAGAAACAGGAATTTCTGATCTATATCAGTTTGAATTCCTCGAGGTAAATATCACTTCTTTATCCCTAGTTGGATATTTGGATGGCCTATTTTTACTGGTTGTGCGGACCCCAGCATAACTTCCATTTTTCGGAGTTTTGCTAGTTTAGTCATTGTGTTTCTTTAGAGTCTCCAGGTCAGGAGATCGTCAACACCACAGGCAATCACAGCACGTGTTGGTCAGAGGGAGATTTGCCACCATGTGACCAAGGCGGTGGTGGATCCTGGTATTGGTTTACTCTAAGCTGGACTTCCTCATGGAAACGCCGGACTCCTTCTCAGCATGGGAGGCCGTGCCGGCGTGATGAATCCCCGCTGTACATCGCAGTCCGGTACCCAGGTGCACCTCCCGGCCACGATAAGACGGTAAACCGTTAGGAGGACCACTTCTTTATAATAGTTGTTATATCTCAATAGGAATTCACAGAATCCACTTCCGTCTGCGAATGCGTTGAAGAGAATTTAACTTTGTGAACTGTCGTTCGCCAATTTTCATTAGTATTACTTTTCCACTAAGGCCTTTTAATTTCACTCATTCAGCTGTATTATACTTTCATAGTAAATTATTCCTCTGTGTTGACAACATTAAGACGTACTGTTCAATGCCTCATTCGTATGTTTTTCAACGTAATTTCATTCATCTAACATGGAAGTAAAAAGTAATATCTTTGAATCAGTAGGTAGTTTGGCGACTTAGCATAATCCTTCTATGATGTATAGGGATTGAAATGGTTTCTTTCATATCTTGCTCTTTTTTCCTCTCTTTTAAAGCTGGGATCAATTCGAGGAGCTGCGTCGAGCCTTTCGCCTAAGATATAACTGGTGCTTTCTTTGGCACACGTAAAATGGCTTGAGAGTTAATTTTTGCATCCCTAATGAAATATTCTTTATTTTTTTAGCTCTCATTCCTTTTTATCCGTCAAATTGTTCATTGTACAGTATGCTTGTTTTCTTTATGTAAGCGTTCCTAGTTCCACCGTTTTGTTTCACTTGTTTTGTGATGTATTTCCATTTCTTGTTTTCTTTTACAGTTCTATTTGCACATTAATTGCATTTTGACTTTCATTCGTTTTATTTCTTTCTACACGTTTCTTTTCATCTATCATCTGTGCTACTAAACCTACTAAACATTCTAGATGGAAATAGGCCGGTGATGACAACTTAAGAAATTCTTCCGCGTTAGGGAGACAGGTATGAAACATTAAAATATTGCAAGGTGGTAATGAAATTTAAGAAATCTGAATCAACTTATTTCTATAGAGATCTTAGTACTTTCCTACTATTCGGGCCTATCGTAAGTTATATGCTTAGTAGCGTCAAATTTTTTAGGCTGCAAAGCGACAATCTGCTTCATTCGATCCGGGACGTTGATACTGAATAATAGAAAGTGAAGCGTTTTTAAAGTACTTACTCACTTGGATACTTGAACGTCTGTATTCACGAGTTGTGTGGACTCTAGAGCATCTTTCATTCTTTTCTTTGCCTCGGAATCGTATTCCATGATGGTGGCTTCACTCGAGCGTAGTGCCGCGTGCTAGCCTCATGTCGTAATCTGTAAGCTGCAAGTACAACTAATTGACTTTATCCAGAAAGACGTCGTCCACCCATCGCCTTGGTGGTCATCCTAGGCAAAATCTTCGGAGAGTCCACCGTACAGTTCTTTTCGTTCATCTTTCATCTATTCTTTTGATTATATGACCTGCTCTATCGTTTCGCTGTTGATGTGTATCCTCATGGGTCATGAAAATCGGGTAGATTTCTATGAGCAAATCTTCGCATTCCAGCTATATATTGTGTCTGCCGATTATATTTCCAGAAAACATTGTCCAAGTGCTCTGTGAATAGTGCGGAATATTCTTGACGTGTTGAAGTGTCCGCCCACGTCTCTGCTGTGTAGCAGAGTGCTTGGAGGACTGTTGAATAGAGAAGATCATCGCGGATTTTTGCGTCCTTTACTTGGTCGGTGAATTCTTTGGGAGGTCGGAATGCGGCCCAAGCTGCTGTCCTTCTCTCTAATTCTTCTTTCATGCTGCTTTCCTTGCCCATTAAACGCCCAAGGTATGCGTACGATGTGGACTCTGCAATAAGAGAGCCATCCAATTCAATTTTTTCGCCTTCGCACCATGGGTTTTTCATGAACTGGGTCTTCTTCCGTTATATACTTAGTCCGATCTTTTTTCCTGCTTCGTTGAGCTCATTGATCATCGTTTCTATTTCGCTAGTACTTCTTGAGAAGATGGCGATGTTGTCGGTGAAATGAAGATTTGATAGGAATATTCCATCAAAACGTATGCCTTTCTCATCCCAATCAAGTGAACTTTACCTGTGCAGGATGACCAGTTGCGAGGTCCTCCACTGGTCTGGGATTTTTTCCGTTTGAATGTGAGATGTCATATAGTTTGCGAGAACTATTCGTAAATTATGGTTCTTGCTCTATGGAATCTGACGGTGATATTATCAAGTTTTGGAGCCCCGACTTTTTTCATGCTTTTTCGCGACTCTAACCTCCGATGGAGGAATTCCAGGTGGTTTTTCACTAGAAGGGATTTTAGGGTCTGAGACGTGGATTGCGGAACGGAAATGGTTGGTGTTTATTAATACCATTTCATGACAGGAAGTTTTAGTGATTATATCCGCATAAGTTCCGACGGCATTTTTTGAGATTGGTTCTTTTTCTTTCCTCTTCTAACAGCTTCTTTCGCTTGTAAATTTTCTTGCAAAGCTCCTCTGAAACTGGCATATATTATTATTCGCATTAAGGGTTTTGCAGGAGGATCAAGTTTCAATTTCCTTCTCTTCTCGAACAACTCCTTAGTGGTAATGAGATAAGATCTAATCTTTTTCCTTGAGGAACTGAAGGGGATCCGGCACAACTTCCAAATCCTTCTACAAACAGGCCATAGTTTTTGGTCGTGTCTTCTTCAACTTGCTAGTCACATATGGATAGGACTCCTTTCAGAGTGTTCTGGTCACATACAGCTGGACTTCTTCTTGGTCGACGACATGAATTCTTCTCCAGTGTGTGCCTGAATCGATTCTTCGCGCGAAGAATGTGGTGATCGGAACCAGTACAAAATGGCGAGACTACCGTTGTGTCAAGTAAGCACCATCCTCTGTTTGTGAGAATATGGTCGACCACCGTAAGAGTCGTGCCTTTAGGGGACTCCCATGTCCAGCGGTCGCATTCTTCTGGAAAAGGGAGTTTCCATGGAAGAGGCGTGCCCTAGACAGGAGTTCTGCGAGGCGGTTTCAATTCCCATTTCTGTCTCCTAATCCTAATTCTCCGATCCTGTATTCGCTGTCCTTGGTCTTTCCTATTCTGGCATTAAAGTAGGACGACCATTCGAGGGGAAAGGATCTCGTACTAGTGGATGAGATGGATAATGAACAGATGGACGACAGCACCTACGCCACCGACATTTCGTGACGGAATTTCGTAGATGACAAGGGTCCTATTGTGTAGTAGACATATGTCGATTACCCTGCTTTTTGTTTTTTGTAGGGCTATCACGTAGAACGTTATACGATCTGTTGCATCAAGAAGAGCGTCAAGATCGGTGTCTGAGAGTGTTTCGGTATTATACGCAAAGTGTAAGAAACGATCTCCATGGCGCATCGTGTGTGTGTTCGTCAAATCAAGTTCCAGTGACATTCTGCGTAACTCGAGTTTTTGTGGCCTCTTACCGGTCGTCTCACCGCGTGACGTTATAGACGGGAGCATCCAGTGTTGGTCCAGACATAACTTTGCAAGGGCATTTTCAGGTCTTCACCATCATGTGGATCTGAGAGAATTGTTTTTTCGGCAACGAATCTTTCGTTCGGTCTTCCCACCACTTGATTCGGACACAATATTAAAACCAAAATCTAAAATGAAAGTAGGAATGAGGAAATGGCCGACCGTTCACTGACGACGTAGAAGCTGAGCATCATCTAAAATCACTGTCACGCTGTAACATGGCCTTTTTCTTTTTGTCAGTTATTTTATTCTTCCTTAAATCGCAATAGTTAAAATTTTGAGCGCGTACTTCAAAACTCATCCACAATGTCATTCTTAGCGGTAAAATACACTTATAACAGCCACGTTGAAGCACTTGAAGCAACTGTGTGACGAAGGGGAATGCAGCTTTATTAAATGTGATGACTACAATTTGTGATACACTGCTGACTTCTGCAGATACTGCTCGATGACGGCGGAGGGCCACAACGTCGACGCGAACCTGCTCGGAATAGGTCGCGACCACGGTCATTACTTTTCGAAGAAGACGTTCGGCAAGCCTACATACTGTCATCACTGTTGCGATAAGATATGGGGTATGCTTACGCAAGGATATGCTTGTGAAGGTGGGTTATTCTGTGTCCATGAACTCTCATGAGCATTCACATTAACAGTTTTCTTTTTCGTGTAGCGCAGTACTTTCGGATTGTCTACTGAGCGAATATTCTCGACAGAAAAAGGCGCGTGCAGCACAGTGGTTGGCGGCGCTGTGCAATAATACACATGGAATCGATCCCCGCGTCCAAGGCTCACCAAGCCTTTCATCCCTCCGGGGCCGGCAAATTGGTACCAGACTTGTCTGGGTGGATAGCAACACTGGCTCGATATATCAGTAGGCCGCCGCGAGTCACCACTGCAAAGACCAGATGTGCATTCAATCACCTTCAACGATGCTACGAATGGAATCGAATGCATGGCGCATACCTAAGGGATTGATCAACTCTGAGAGCTTTATCCTTCTTCATTCTTATTCTCGACGATGAGGAAGAAGTAATATTTCATGTCGTTAAAATTACGTGAAGATATGTGAAAATGATAACTAAGGGGAAATCTTCGAGTGCTCTTTCATCGTCGTTCACATTCTATCTGTTCGATGAAATATTATCAGTATTAGAAAACTTCCATATCAATGACCATTATGCACAAATTAATTTATTGAGTATCCCACTTTTTGTTTATGTTTTCGATATATTTCAGTTTGCAATTTCGTATGTCATGAGAAGTGCTTAAAAACCGTCGTCTCGTACTGTAGTGGAGTTGCATTGCAGCTGATCAAGGTCTGTTCGTAATGGTTATGTTAATGTTTCTGTTTAATGTTAGGAAATTTTTTAAATATGAAGTAAATAAATACGTATTATTACAAAGGGGTTACTACTTTCTTTTATACGCTCACTAAACTTGCGTTTTTTTGTGGTAATCTATCCACCCTTCTTCCTTAACCTCCTAACGGTTTACTACCTCATCGAGACTGGGAGGTGTTCCTGGGTGTCGGACTGCGATTTACATCGGGGGATTCGTCCTTCCACCAGGGTCTCCCAAGCTGAGAAGAAGTCCGGCGTTTCCATGAGGAAGCCCAGCTATAGCAAACCGGTACCAAGATCCACCGCCGTCCTGGTATAAAACTAGTCACATGATGGCAACGAATTTCCCTCTGATCTAAGAAATGCGGTGAGTGCCCGTGCCGGTGACGACCTGGGGCAGACTTTGGCTAGGCTAACCTCGAGACTACAGAGAACCTCAATTGTTAAAACAGCAGTTCGGCGAAAAAATTGAAATTATGCTTGCTGGGACCCCCACAACCAGTGAAGGCGGACCATCCTAGTAATCTATGCACCATGCAGTGTTACTCTATTCATCAGTTTAATTTTCAGTGTTGCGAATTTTGCAATGAAAATGCTGCTGAAGTTTACTATATGAAAGGCTGTTTCATGCTAGTGTTGTTATTCATGAAACACTGGTTTATGTAAAGCTGTGTTTACAAGTTTCCACTTTTTTCTAGGATCATTTAGACTGATCTGGTTTCATGTGTATTCATTGTAAGTACTGCTTGATGATAGTGAGTTGTGAGATAGGTAAAACTTTTGAGGGAGTGTGCGTGAGGTGGGAGTACGAATTTGCGCTAGGAAGCATACTAAGTTTAGGAGTACTAATTATTACTAGGAAGTCAGAAGTTTTGGAGTGGTCTTCGTTCTGAGCCGATCAACAATAAACCCGATTCTCACATCTTCTGACCTCTGGTCTTTGTCGAATATTCTTATCCTATTCATATGCTTAGTTGGAAAAACATCATTTTCTTACCATCTTAGTCCAGTCCGGCATAGATACTAGTAGTATAGGTCGGTTGTAATGCTGCAAATCGTTTAAAGTTTCATTCGTTTGCTTCATCTATTGTAATTTGCTTTTAAAGTGTATTCTTCTACGCAAGTAAGTAGTGTTACTTTTCTTGAACTTATCAATCAAATGTCTATCTGCTGTAACATATTTAGCAAGTCCATTACTTTTAGTACGGTAACTATCAGTAATGATATCGAGTACTGCGTTCGTTTTGGAGTAATTTGAAATGGTATAGAACGTATCCATTTGAAACATTACTGCACTGCTGAAATGTAATAAGCTATAATTTATGGGTTAGATGCCCTTGGTCCTTAATTGCTTGGTGATGAAAGTGCCTATTCTTTAGTAGCCGTTTTCTAATCTTTGACTGAGGTGTACCATTGGTCTCCCAACGGTCTCCGAGAGCATTCGTCATTCATGGTTCCGCTCCTTGTTTTTAGAAGCAGGTGTATCTGATGTTCAAACATCAACAGAGAACTTTCGTAGCAAGTGAATAGAGCATCGTTCAAGATAAAATCTTGTTAAATCCATTAAATGAACGTTATGGTAGTCCAGTAGGCACCAGTAGCGCAATAGTTGAAGCTGCCCTGAATGCGCACATGATTACTTGCCCGATCCTGCACTATGAGCAAGCTTAGTCCTCTACCCTTCCGGGTTCGTGCATTAACATCAGATATTTCTGTATGCATAAAATGCTTTGTTACGCCTATCAGTCATTGTGCAGACCAATTATGTATCCAGTCACCTGTGCTGTGCTACAAACGGGGTCGTATAGATGGTGCGTGGTAAAGTATGGGCTAACACCGAACGTTGTATTATTTAGTCTTAATCCAAGAAAGAACTCCTTTTGAGTCTGGAAGAGTAGAGTTGACAGTTTCTGAGCAGACTGGGTTGCGTTTCTTTCAGAACCCAGTTGCGCATACATGGTCACAACCTGGCTTGATCAAACGAAAATTCTGTTGTGTATGTCGTAAAAGGACTGACGAGGCGCTGTCACTCGAATGTGAAGGTGAGCACCTCATTCATCATCGTTTTGACTGTCGTGTCTTTTTTGTCTTTTTTTTATCTTATGTTTCCGTCAGTGTTTTAAAAGATTGTCTTAATTTTTTTTATGTATTCCCTATACCGATCGGACGGCAACGATTTCTGGTTTCTTTCTTCTATGACCATCGATTATTTTGATGTATCAGGTTCCTTCCAAGTTCTTCTGCTCCCTTCCGACAGTTTGCCGCCTCATCGCTGCTGAGCGGTGTTCCTGGGTATCGGGCTGCGATGCACACCGATAGAGGAGGAGGGGAGGGGGGATCACCTCCCCGGCAGGGCCTCACAAGCTGAGGAGTTCGGCGTTTCCATCAGGAAGTCCAGCTAAGAGTAAACCAGTACTAGGATCCACCACCGTCCTGGTATCAAACAAGTCGTGTGGTGACAAATTCCCCTCTGATCCACAAGGGTGGCGACCCGGGGCAGACTTTGGTTAGGTTGACTTCGGAAGTTCAGGAAACCACATTGGCCAAGACAACAAAACTCTAAAAAAAGTAAAAATTATGCTGCGGCCGCACAACTAGTGAAGGCAGGTCGTCAAAATCTCCAAGTGTCTTTTGCTCCATGTTTTTTACTTCATGGATACAGCTGGTTTCGGAGAACACTGTACTTTCCTCAACATTTCCATTATCATGCGTTCTCTTTTAATGAACGACTTACATAAACAAATTTAGAGGTATGATTTTCATCTTAGTTTTTGCCGAGTTCTTTTTTTAAGGAATATTTTCTAAATGTTTAGTTGGGAATTACTTCCGGTGTTCGTCTTTGAAGGGCCGCGTGTAGCGCATTGGTCGGAGGCGGCCTTCAATACACATGGCATCGATCTCCGAGCCCGTGGCTCACAAATCCATCCCTGCGGGGTCGGCAAATTGGTAGCAGACTTGTTTGAAAGTATCGCAGCACTGGTTCGATACATCGGTAGACCACCGCGAGTTATTGTGAAAACCAGAAATACATTCAGTCGCCTCCAACCATTGCTTAATGGAGTCGAATGCATGGCGCATCCCTCAGAGATTGTTCAGCGCTGAGAGCTTTAGCGAGTGTTATTCGCTTTTGAAACGTTAACTAGTTTTCGTTTGTTTCTTATATCACTAAATGTCTCACTTTTCCAAATTTAAGCAGCCGCAAGTTCAATTTATTGATTCTGCTTTTTTAAAATGAGCTCCCGGTTTAACGCTATGCTTTCTTCTTGTTCTGGAGTTTATTTGTTCCATTTCCAGTTTGCGAGTACTATGTACATGTAGACTGCTCCGATCTGGCCGTCTCGGACTGTAAAGAGGCTGCCACCTATGTGCCAAATTTGGACATTGTACGTTAGTTTTTTGTAATGTTTTATAACAGAAGGACTAAATTAGAAGGAGTTCGTAGAACATTTCTTATTTAGTGTATTATTTGAGAAGCTTGAAAGAACACGTTTCGTTATCCTTTCTGCACTCTCATTGGCGTCAGTGAACTTCTCGTCACTTCTAATAAGAAGGATGATATGAGGGAGGAAATGACGTGGAGCGTCGTGCGAAGCAGCCTCATTAGGGAGAGAGAAGTCGATACTACCCTTGGCGCAGATATACGATTTCTTCGCTATATCGCAGTCTAATGATGAATTATCCCGCTGGACAACTTGCGTTATAATTAATTTGGAATAAATTCCCTTATATGATGGAAGAGGATGAATCGATTGCATTCAGCAGCAGATTTCATCTTATGAAATACATTAAGCTTCAGCAGATCCAGGTAATATCATCCCACCGTCAGAATTGGGTACTAATGAATGATGGTCTCGTTTTTGAAACAATTAAAGTTTTACTTCAAACTGATTCCTAGAACTTTAAAGTACTGGATATTTAACTAAAATGTTGATGGTTCATTTTCGTAATGGTTCCATTTGGATGAAGACATGAGTTCTTGAGATGGAAACGACGTCGTTAATTTAAGCAACAAGAGTCGGGTTTTGTACGATTACAACTAGGTGGCAACAAACGTTTGTCTTTTCTCTTGAACAAGTTTTTATACTGGTTTTATTGACTTGACAGGTTTGTCTACTGGTTTTATTAGTCTGACGTTTTACACTAAGTGAGTGCAAATGATGTTTCGTAAAATTCTGTTGATGTAACTATTCTGATCAAATAACGTAAATAATGGAAAATTAGCTTGACTACCAAACTCCGAAAAAGTGGAATTTTTGCTTTGCTAACGCCCGCACAATCAATGGAGACGGACCATCCAAATATCCAAGTAAGTAAGCGTAGCTAAAATCACAATGTTAACCTCTCATTTGCTACCTACTGCAACCTACAACAATTTTTTTTGCCGCAGGATATTATGTGCCTTTCGAGGGCTAGTGCATTCAACACCACACCATGCGGGTCCTTCGTTTCGCCTCGCTCTCAGCTAGTTTTCTATCTGATCATATAATATTTTACCCCAAGTTTTCGTTTATTATGTCGGATAAAAAATGAAGATAAAAAACAATATAAATGTCTGTGTAAACGGTAGATCTCATGATGATAGAAGTGCAAATATGACAGTCGCACTGTAAAATTCATGCTGTTATAGACTGTAGTAAAAATGACGAAGTTATGAGATTGTGCTCGTTAGAGTGAACCGTAACCTAATCGCTTTTGTCTTCGATTTCATCTGTATAAGAACGATGTTTAACCTTTGATTAGAATTTTGACTAATCGCCAAGTTTTTAGGCCACGCATGAACAATTTCATCACATGCGTGAAGGGAATCTGCCCAAAGACAGCAAATGCGTGGTATGCAAAAAGAGCTGCTGGTCGGCGGAATGTCTGGCAGGCATGCGTTGCGAGTGGTGTGGGCAGACGGTGAGACTTTTATGAAAGTTCATCTTGATAATTTAACTTTTTTCGCTTAAAACTTGGACTTTTCCAATTTGCGGTTGGTATGTAACTACTTGGATGCAGGAGGTGCGGTGATTACAAACGTCATGTAGTAATACACGTATGCTTTCTGTTTCGTTCCTCCATTGGTCAACTAGGTAGTCCGTCCCTCTGTGCCCAAAAAATCGGTGCCAGACTTACCTGAAAGAAACTGTCCGAGAAACTCCGGCGTTTGCCTGTAATGTATATCTCGGAACGCCGTCGTAAATCTATCTCAGGATTCTTGTAAGAATCCGGTCAAACACTTCCATAACCAAACAGAGAAAAAAAAAGAATTTTTTTCTTTCTTTTCTCTGTTTTGGTTATAGAGGTGTTAGGCCGAACAAATTGCTGTCAATTTGACCTTTCCAGGCTCTGAAGAAGGCGAAATCCGTCGAAACGTCAGCTTATTCGTGAATAAAAAATTAAAAATAACACCTCGCGTTTGCTCAACTAGAATACGAAGAAAAAAATCCTATTATTTGTGACAAAACCACAATGGTGTTGTGATATCGCAGGTGTCTGCGGTGGGAAACGAAAGCGCTGTTACTCTTTCGGGGCTAATACGCTCACCACCACACCATGCATGTCCTTCGTTTGGCCTTTCTCTCAGCTAGTATTCTGTCTCTCAGTGCCACCAGTAATCATCCATCAACGGGATTGATGTGGGGATTGCAAATCTGCGATGAGCCCAGTTAAGCTGATTAGGTTCAAACTATTTGAGAGAGAGGCGAAACGAAGGAATACGCAAGGTGTGGTGGTGAACGCATTAGACCCCGGGAAGGGTAATAGCGCATACATTCCCCACCACTGACACCTGCGACTTCACAGCACCATTGTGGTTGTATCATACGTAATATCCTGCCATGAAAAATTATAGTGGGCCGTGAATAAAAAGCCTTAGTCGAAGTTCTGATTAACATTTAGCTTTTTTTAATCCCTCGTTTTAAGCATTTTCATATCTTCACGTTATTTTGTTTTGCCTACTTTGTTTGTTTGCTTATTAGGTTGTTTTTGTTACGGAGAACTTTTTTTTGCCCTATAGCTTTCTCTATATGCTGGCACATATTCGGTTCTAAAGTGTTATCCTTTATTTTGTTTGGTTTTTAATATTAACCCTGGATAGACGGGTAATACGAAATAGATCGAATTAAATTGTGATCAGTTTTTAGGCTCATGCCGTTTGCTATCGTCAGATGCCGAAGGAATGCGATTTTGGCGTGCTACGGAAGATTCTCTTACCGCCATCGGCGCTGACGATACCCCGTACAGAACTTCCAATGGAGCAGCTTCTTGCAATCACATCCAGTGATCCTCCACAGTCGCGTAAGGGTCAGACTCTCTCACTATCCTTTCCTTTCTTCTTGTTAAATTTCTTGTGACTAGTTGCGACACTAGAGCAACAATTTCGGTTTTCACAACCGAGTCATCGATGTCGCGTGCTACTGTTTTTGAAGGCGACCACCGCTGCTACGGACGATGTGCTGAAACTCGTCCACCTAACTGTCGTTTTCTGTTGTGTTACATTTGTAATATTCAAGGTGTTTGGTTTTTTGCTCTGTTGATATTTTATTTCATCTTATTTTGCTTAGGATGAGTTTTGCACGGCATGGATCAGTTTGTTTTCCACTTTTCTGTTTTTTACATTAAAATTCTTTTCCCAAATTACTGCCTGTCTATTGTTATTCTTGCGGCAGACATTTTTCAATCTGTCTTCTACTAGTTCGTGAAGATGGCTATTATGGAGTGAAGTAGATTGTTTCAGTTTCATCACCGTCAAAAATTCAGCCAGATGACGTGTCATCGTCTGGTGATGATATGAAAGAGCGTGAAGATACGGAGATCCTACGAGTGTTCGACGGTAATTCATCACTTCGTGCACAAGTGTGCCGAACAGCCAGCGTTCCGAAGACCGTTACCGTTCAACAGATTCGTGTCAGTTGCTTAACTAGCTTCTTTGAATAGATTTTGCACCACGACTTACTGAACAGTGCCTTGTACACTCTAAGCAACAGGTCGTACAGCTTGGATACTCGAATACTTGGGTAGCCCATCTTCACTGATTGTGTGAGCACCAGCATAATTTCCATTGTTTTGAGGTTTTGCTTGTTTAACCATTGTGGTTCCCTGGTGTCCCGGGGTCAGTCTGGCCGTATTCTACCCCATGTTGTCAGGAGCACAAGCAGTCGCCGTCCTTGTGGATCAGAGGGAGATTTGCCACCATACGACTAGTTTGAATACCAAAACGGTAGTGGATCCTAGTATTGGTTCACTCTTAGCTGGGCTTGATGATGGAAAAGCCGGTCTGTTCATCTTGGGAGGCGCTGCTGGAGAGATGAATCCCCCCGCTGTAGATCGCAACCTGACACCCAGGAACATCTCTCAACTACGATGAGGCGGTAATCCGTTGAGAAGGATCATACAGCTTTACGACTTTTTTGGAACAGTGAATCCTCAATGGTATGACGTTCTAATTTTGTTTCGAATAATGCAATTTCGTAACAATGAAGGTTCTCGGAAGAACAATATTTTCGTCATATTTGAAAAGGTTGTAACTCACACTGAGCGACCGTTCATATTCTGTTCATTATTCTTAGTTCCGATTTTGATACGCATTACATCTTCAATGTATAAATTAGAGTTTGGTCCATTTATTTAGTCATCCGAACATTTCTTAAATGACCATGCGAGTTGCTTGTAATTTAGCATAGCTTTGTGTGGTTTGAGTCAGTTTATGCATTTCTCATCGATAGACTTAGTAGTTAACTCCTGAAATTATTATTGGAATCAAAGGGGATTAATTTCTATTTACCTTTTTGTTATCTCCAAACTCTCCACTCTATGAAGAGACGTTTACAGGACGCTGCATTACGGCGATTTCACATTACTGACAACCCGGATAATTACTACGTTACTCAAGTTGTAAACGATGGTTTGTTTTTTTTTTATACCGTAGATTTTTACTGTGTTTGAACGAGAATGGGTAGCACGATTTATTTTTTTTTATTAAAAGTGGCAACGGAATATTACCCTATGGGTTTTCGGAGTTTTCTTCCTTTTTCATAATTCCTCACTTTACTTAAATATGAAAACCAGAGGAGTTTGTGCTATTGAAACCATATAGGGTAGATTTGAACGATCATCTTAGCTTTCTAGAAATTTTCCATCCATTAACATTTGTTCATCGTGAGAAGGTTATTCATATGGTAGAGCTACTTTGTAGATAGAACACCTTTTGAAAAGGTAAAATAGATGAGGTATCAAAGACATATGTTTGAGCCTGACTGTCGCTTAGGAGACGTAGACATGTGTCGGTAGTACACGCCAAACTGTTTATTTACTTGTTTTTAGCCGGTGACGAGGAAACGTTAGAAGATCCGGTACCACTGCGAAATGTGAAGAGACCGGAAGGTCGACGAGCGCAAATATTTCTTAGGTACAAAGACGATCCTGATAAGGATGTCGTAAAACTGTATGGCGGGTGGCTGAGGTGTGGTTTCGATCCTCATCTTTTTCTCTACCGTTTTGCATAGTTCATTCTTCCTACCATTAACGCAGAGTGCATGATCGATTCTATAGCAAGTAGATGATTAAGAGAATTCGTTTTTAGAGTTCCTGTAACATTTTGTTCAATAACCGTAACTCGGGACACGCTAGTACAAGATGCTCTTGCCGATGCGCTTCAAAACTTTGGCCTTGATCCCAGTACTTGGAACAGGTAATAACCTTTAGGGAAAGCTTGAAATGTTTGGGTTTTAGACTGAATTAAAACACAACGTGCGACACGCATTGGGCACAATGTATTTGATATGAGTTTAATGCCTGCTACTAAATTTAAACCAATATATCCTGGCCTAAAATAAGTTTTATTAGTTGCAGTAAGGCACGCAAGCAAATGAACAAGCTGCATTTCGTTTAATAGTATACGATATTTTTTCTCACTCCTTCGTTTGGTTTTGCAGCTTTGTCCCTTTTCCGCTTGACATAAACACTCAAGTATTTAGTACTTCTTTTGATAATTTTATTTGCAAAGAAGTCCAAGTTGAGAGAGCTGTGTCTAGTTCCTCAATTTCCTCAACACTAATAGTTGTGGTATCAGTCGGCGTCGAGAAATCAGTTACGGGTGTTGTATAGTATAAATTCAATGAATGAAATGAACATAAACCAAGAAGAGAATAACATGGTTATGCATAGCCTATGAACTCCTACATTGTGAAAATAATATATTTGGCATTTGATTTCTATCGTTGCTTCGTCAGAACTTACCCGTTTTTATATTGACTGTTAAGTAAGCAGAAAAGGAATCTATTGGCTTAAAAATAAGATAGCGATCCATCTTTTTAACTAATGAAGCGAGTTTCGTAACTCCAAGTGGTAGTGCTTTTCTCGAGTGCTTTCCCGGAAAGTGTTATGTTGAGATCTTTAGGTACAACCTCATTGAAGTATCACTGGATCGCGGTGTGGCTGAACGAACGTGCAATGCTCAGGAAAATATGCTGCAACTCGTCCGGAATCTTCGCAAGGTTTTTACCCTGCTTTATTTATCCTAAAAGAAGTAACTGTCATTTCACTTCCAAAACAAGATTTTCTCATTAATATTAACAAGGCTTTTGTGGTAGGGCACCCTTCTTTGGAGCTCATATGTTTTGTTAGTTATACTGTTTAATATAGGTTACGTCGGAAAGCTCATGTTAATAAGTTGGAGGATAATATTTGTATTGGAAAGAAGAATAAAATGTGTTGTTTGATTGAGTAACAAGGAAATCTTTAGCTTTAGTATCCATTCGGAATGTCTTATTGATTCTTATCTTTGAAACTCGAAGTTGGGTAACTATACGTGTGTATATGGATAATGCAACAATAATGACATTAAGAGGTTAACAGATTTAGAACAATTGCATGAAGATTAATAACTGACTTCGATACATAAGTGGTGCAAGACAATGAGAGTACCTACAATTGAATTTAGTCGAGTTAATGAGAGTTTTACGATAAGTAGGTGGGAAGGATGTAGTAGGAAAGCACGAAAGACTTCTCAATCTGGTGGTGACTTCTAAATATCTTTTGAAGGCGGGTGTTATTGCAGTGGGCGTGCTTCTTTCTACGCACGTGTTTCTACAACTGTGGTAGTGTTGATATATAAATATAATATGGCCGTTACTAAGTACTTTACGACTAGTGTAAACCAAGTGCTGATAAGATATGAACGGCGATAGAGATAGCGATGAAGGGCATTTGTTATTTTGTGGAAGATGTTCTGGATATAACAAAAGCGGTCCATGCCCTACCTCTACCATATTAAAAAAAAGTACTTAGTTAAGATTAGCAAAATATGTGTATTTGTTTAATATTAAAATGTTTTGGTCTCTACTAAATGATTGTACGACAATGTTCATTCGAATGACGGATTTGATTAGCTTATTTTGTCAAGGAAATAGGCTGTAACCACTGTTCTTAGTAGCAAATACTCAATTGGAGAGGCTTAAATTGGTGAAATATGAAACTCCTTAGGAATTAAGGGTCTAATTTGAAACTTTCTTTTGCTAAACACTTCGACTTTAAATGAAAAACGTTGTCTTAACTCTTTTATTTACTGCCTTTTTCTTTTTAATGGCAGGGTATGTTTAGAATTATAACTCGTACGAAATGCTGAGATATTTGCAAAACTCCGGACCACAGGTGTATGCAGTGGGGAACGAACCGGGGGGACCCGGATGGTGTAGTGGCCAAGTGCGCTGCTCCCCGGTAAGGACAACAGCGCGCGTTCGTTCCCCACTGCATACACCTGTGGTCCGGAGTTTTGCAAATATCTCAGCATTTCGTACGAAAAACGTTGTGTTAAAACAGATCCTCAATTATTACATAGGTACATATTTCCACGTTGTATCTTCTGTTCTTAGTCAAAAATTAATTTCAGGACTCCTTACGACGCTATCACGTTGTACGGTTCTATGTACAGGAGAAAGAGGACCCACATGATCATGCAGTGTTTGTTGGAAATCTTCCTGTATCGCTTGCTCAACGGCAGTACGAACGAATATTGCTCAAATTATTAGGAGCAAAAGGTATGTAAAGACTAGAGACAGTGGAAATGCTGCTAGCTGATCAGTTCACGCTAAAACTTTCAACAAGGGACTTCACTGTGTGTGTATGAAGTCAAGAATTGTAAATTGAAATTGGCTTCAGTCAAACCTTTGAGGTAGATTATGGATGAATTCACGCAGAATTAGGGACCATCACTTTTCCCGTGTATCTACACCAAGCGAAGCATCTATAACTAAAATGCTTGTTACAGTACTGTTATTTCAGAGAAACCGTTCACGGCAATCGGACCGATTTATTTCGAGTACGGTTCACTTGTGATTACATTTAATACGCCAAAAGCCGCAACTGCTGCCGTTCAACGCCTTCAAAATGCCATCTACGAAGACAAAAAGCTCATTGTGTTATGCTTACCCAATGTTCAGGTGATCTATCCCAGAGTTTTTTTGTAATAGTATTTTCATGTGGAATTTACCAAAAACGAATAGAAGCAAAATTATTGGGAAGAAGATATTGCTTTATGATAAATCTTTAGTGCTACCACGGCTTGGTTTCTTAGCTCAAACAGTGCTTTGGTTTCAACAGTGCTAGTGAATATTAGTCATGAATATTAGAATATTAGTTGGTTATGCATTGACGCCATTTCATTTTAGCCACATATGCTACCACCTGATGCTGAACCGTTACTGGTACTCGTGAACGTGAAAAGTGGCGGCTGTCAAGGAACAGAGCTGATTCAATCATTTCGAAAACTCCTTAACCCTTTCCAAGTTTTTGATGTTCTTAAAGGTGGTCCGCTAGTCGGGTATGTTGTTCTTACGGTTGTATGCTTTTAGAATAACATCGTATTTTCCACGGTATGTCGTAATTTTCTTTCCGGTCATTTTCAAATGGAGTATTGCTTGAATATCGTAGGTTTCTACACATCTTTAGAACAAGGAAAACGAACTATTGCGATGATCTGATTAACACATACTCGACAACACCTTATTTTCTTCGGTGGCAGACGCATGACGTGATCCAATTTCTCACCTCGCGCAGAGGGAATTGAAATCAGTGCATGCTGACCAAAGTGCATTGCTGTGGCACAGTCATCAACAATGCTTTTTAATAGCAAGTCATATGTGTTACTCTTTTCGTACAATAATCTAGGAATTTCCGTCGAAGTCGTGTATTCGTATTTGTTCAGCAGAGACATCTTAGTGTCTTCTTCACCAGTAAGAGTTTATGTAGTATTATCACCTTGTACTTAAGAAATTCGTTCGAAGAGCTTCTTTTGCAAATTATATTACGTACGAAGTGACTGGGGGCGCGTGTGGAGTAGTGGTTGAAGGCACATTGCAACTCACATGGGATCGATCCCCGCGCATCTGGTCCACCAAATCTTCCATCTCTGCGGAGTCGGCAAATTGTTACCAGACATGTCTGAGGGGATAGCAGCATTGGCTCGATACATCGTTAGGCCACCGCGAGTCATTGTAAAGGCCAGATATGTATTCAGTCACCTTCAACGATCCTCAATGATGTCGAATGCATGGCGCATCCCTCAGAGATCGATGGACGCCGAGAACTTTTATCCCTTATGAAGTGATTGTAGAGTTACGCCTCATGCATCACCTGTAGTTTGGGTGCTATCAAACAAATGAAATGGTGTAAAAGAAGAAATTATTGTGCTGTGAAATAAACAGGTGAAAATAATATTAATTGAATTCGGTGCATACCATCCTCTCTGCCACCTCGTTCGTTCTACGTGGTATGCATTAAAACTAACGCATAATGTATACTAAGGGTTTAAAGATCGCCTTGCATAATTCCCAGATGGCTGACACTGCTGGGATTGATTCTGTTTTATTTTTTATGACTCAAGTTTACCAACATAATTTTCTGCATTCATTTAAGGCTTTACGTGTTCCGAAACATTCCGAAATATAAAATCCTGGCTTGTGGCGGAGATGGTACTATTGGATGGGTTTTGCAGTGTCTTGATATTGCAAAGCAGGTGATTTTTCTTAAAAATCTGCACTCCGTAAGCAATCCCCACCTATATGTTGCTGTGCTGAGGTTTGAGATTTACTTGTTCTAATGTACTATTGTGTTGTAGTTCATTTAGTAACGGAATATATTCTCAAACCAGTAGACAGAGAAGGACGGATCAGTCGTCGGAACAAAGAGAAACTACACAAGAAACATTGGTGGTTCAGCGGTAGAGTGCTCGGCTGTCGCGCGGGCGAACCGGGTTTTATTCCCGACCAATGTACTAAATGTATTAGTTGGTATAGTGGAGTGTGTCTTCGAGTCGATTGTTACCGAATAGCTGTTATCTCGAAGTAGAATGCTCGGCTTTGTACAACTTTGCCTCACGGGACTTTTTCCGTAGCCATAGAGAACCTCGAGCTTGGATTATGATGGCTTATGTCGACAATAACGGTACAATGTTAACAATCTGACGATATCTAGTTGAGCGAATGAGCACAACCGAAGCTAGGTGAAACACGGGAACATTGGAACACTGACTAGCGATGGTCCTTATATTTACTTTGGTATTATACGGAGCTTTGACGGAAGAAACCAGAGATAGTGTCGAAGAGGAGATTCTAGATTGTTTCTTCTTTGTTACAATCTGATGGAGCTGCTTTAAAAGAAAACATGGAGAAGGTACATCAGACTTGACGTTATAAAAAAACTGTGTTACCATATGGTTCACTAGCTAACTATTCAAAACGTCTACGGAATGCTCATCAGATAACGGTTTGTAGCTTATACAGAATGTCCATATGATGGCTATTTCAGGTCTCTGAGGTGCTGAATAAGTAGCGGTTTGTACAGAATGTACGTATAAATGTGGTTACCAGAAAATATGGCTAATATATAGAAGAAGCATACTAGAATAGAAAATAGGAGCTATTCTCACTGTGATTACTGCAGAAAGTAATAGACCTTGATTCTGAAGTCAACGCACTCCGTTTTCCTAAATTTCGCATTATCTTTATCAATAAAGACAAAATACTTGCAGGATGCAGCATGTTTTTCACCCCCCTGTGGTATAGTCCCATTGGGCACCGGCAATGACTTGGCAAGAGTGCTTCGTTGGGGTGGTGGTTATACAGGCGAGGAGAATCCATTAGAAATCCTAAAGGTTTGAATTGTCTTACCTGTCTATGTGATATTGTATAATATTGTAGTGTTCTTCTGTGGTTTTTTGTAGGATGTAATAGAAGCAGATGAGGTTCGACTTGATCGATGGGCGGTGGTGTTTCATGAAGAAGAACGAAGCCAACCCCCAAATCAGGTATCGTGAGCTTACAGTGATCGTTGATTAGTTTTCAGAATAGTTCAGTAACTAAATATTTGCTATATAGTGGCGGAATTTTGGCGAGTATTTAATTTTACTAATGTAAATGTTAGGAGGTTGTTGATACTGGATTCTGGTAGTGGTACTCCATGCTACTTTGTTTTTGTTATAGACATACAGGCATGCTTTTATAAAACATTTTTGTTATTAGCTCTCTTCAGGTGGTTAGATTGGCTGTATGTGGAACGTTATTGTGGTTTTGTTGTTTTTTTTTTATCATGATTTCTTCTTCTAGAGAATTATTAGTAAAGTTATCTCATCTCCTTGTAATTAAGGTACAGAGGCGTTAACTATGAAAATACACATTCCAGAAAAAATATGGATATTTCAGGCTTTTGCTGTTAATCCTTCCGAGACTGACCAGACAATGAGCAATCCTGAAGATCAGACAAGCATGATCATCATGAATAACTATTTCGGAATCGGTATTGATGCAGATGTGTGTCTTAAATTCCACAATAAGGTAATGCGTTGTGTCCTATGCACCCATTTCTCCTTACTTCTTATACCTTTACTATGTCTACTTTTCCGCGGAAGAATCCATTTAATTTCGATTCATTGTTTCTGTTATTTAAACATTATCTGTTTACATTTTAACACTTGTCGCTTTATAACTACTTTTATTTTTCATCATACCAGGTTATTGATTGCTAACGCATTATATGTTTAAGAACCCAAATTATTGTTGTGCAAGTTTTTTTTTTCTTTAGCGTGATGCGAATCCAGAAAAGTTCCAATCTCGCTTATTCAACAAAACACAATATGCTAAAATTGGCTTGCGAAAGATGTTCTTCGAGCGGTCGTGCAAAGATCTTTGGAAGCGTATTGAAGTTGAGGTAACATTATCTGCGCAATTGTATTCCATATTAGCCTTTTCTCCACTATTTTACGTGCAGTAATTCACAGTGGAGTGGTGAGTATCAGGACATCTAAAGCTGTGTTGCTCCTAAACTGAGTTCATGCTGTACTTCTAGCTTTCTCTGCGGTAGAGAAATCTAAAACAAGTGTGGAGAATAAGTTTAAGATTTGTTTCGCTAGAAACTGTAAAAAAAAATTGCTTTAGGTAGACGGGCGACCTATTGAACTGCCAAACATAGAGGGAATAGTCGTTCTGAACTTGTTGAGCTGGGGAAGTGGTGCGAATCCATGGGGAACCGCCAAGGAGGAGAGCCCTTTCCAAAAGCCAACACATTATGATGGACTTTTGGAGGTATTACTATCTTCATACGTTTATACAAGGTATGCATCATCTTTTTTTCACTGTTTAGGTTGTTGGTATTTCTGACGTATCGCGTTTGGGTCTCATTCAGTCTAAATTGGCAGCCGGCACTAGGATTGCTCAAGGAGGAAGTGTAAGTCTATAACGTTTACGTAAAGTAGGTGTTCTCCGTATTGCTGATTAAGTGTTAGCAATGAACATTATAGTCGGACATTAATCATTTACTGTTAATAAATGGAGGTATTAGTACGGACTTGCAAATTCACCTTAAAACACGATGTGGCATTGGGAAACAAATTCAGTTGCAGGAGATGCTTAATCATCATTATGTTGCATGTATGGGCATTGAGCGGGAGGGAAATGAACTATAGTCAAAGTACTATAATGCTGAGGTATTTGCAAAACTCCGAACCGCAGGTGTCTGCGGTGGGGAACGAACGCGCTATTGTCCTTTCCCGGGAGTAACGCGTTCACCACCACATCATGCGGGTCCTTCGTTTCACCTGTCTCTCAGCTAGTTCTATCGATCTTTTGCAATCAGCAATCACCTGTGAACGGGTTTGATCTGGGGAGAGGGTGATTGCTGATGGCAAAAGATCGATAGAACTAGCTGAGAGACAGGCGAAAAGGAGGACCCGCATGGTGTGGTGGTGAACGCGTTACTCCCGGGAAAGGACAATAGCGCGTTCGTTCCCCACCGCAGACACCTGCGGTTCGGAGTTTTGCAAATATCTCAGCATTATAATAGTTAAGTTTCGCAAATACACTGCCGTTAAAAAGAATAGGCAGTAAAAAGGGTTAAGATTATAGTCAAATTGTTTAACACTTTCAAGCGGCTTTCGAAACACCTTCGATTACGGCTACTTCGCAGTTAGCATTTTTACGAAAGGCTATGGAGGAAAAGCTTCTGTGCTTGTTAAGAATGGGTCATGATAAACTCTTTGTATTTAGTGGGTGTTTTTTACTCAATTTTTAGGACATACCTTTTCTTAGAAGTTCCGGGTGCTTCAGATTCGTATAACGACACATGAAGAATGGCCGGTGCAGGTAGATGGTGAGCCTCATATTCAGCCTCCAGGTACAATCACCATCCTGAAATCGGCGTTGAAGGTTAGTTTTCGTGATGACTATGAGCAATTATTTCGTGACACATTGACACAGTCGGATGAGGTGTGATCCTCATCAACTTCCGCTGTGCATTATGTATAACGTCATGTGGCACGATATGTCATTATTGTGGATAGGAACCCGATTTGGAAGACTTATCCGTTAACGTGGAGGACAATGAACCAGGCAGAGGGAGAGAAGAGAAGAAAAGAGAACTGGTTGTGACTTTTGTTGCGTTTGTGACTGCCGGTAGTACCTACGATCATACCTACCCGTACAAGATTTTTATCATGTGGCGTCATCATAATAGTGTTTGTGCGTTGAAGCATACTGTACGTCCCGCCTTGCCCGGTGTGCTAACCGTCGCTTTTTAGGCGCAAATGCTGAAGAAGGCGAAGAAGAGTCGTCGTGGCGTGGCTTCGTCGCAGGTGCGAGCGGTCGCCAGCGAAGGCTCACCATCTGGTCCGTTGGGAGTACCATCATCGCTGGATCCCGCACTCGGCAAATCAACACCCGAAGCTCTCGGCGACTCAGATGAGGAGGGCGACGCATTCCTTTGAAGTTTGGTAGATATGTGCTTGATGTGTTCGCTTGCTCCACATCGAATTGTTCCTGCCCCATTCAATCAGCATTGCTCTAGTAACAAATCGTTTGATCTGTTTCCGGTAATTTACATGACACATTTTGCGATAATGGACAACAACAAATGGTGTGGACTGTTATAGTACGATACATATATTGCTGATCGATTGGTCTGCTAAAGCGACTTCTCCATTTGGCAGTGTCAAAGCGGTGAGATTGCCAAAGTGGCTACCAGTGACGAACGACTAACGCTAGAAATCTCTGTACCAATCTTCCATTGCCTTTAATTTCGCTTTTGTGTCGGCATCATGTCTGTTCGCTTGTGTACGTAGTCGTGACGATGTCGCGACATTTTCATCTTTCAGTGATGTTTGCCACATTCCCGAAAGGCAATAGTTCTTTTTATTTGTTTGAAAGGGTCCATTTGGTTCCGTTTTTCCTTCACTCGTTTGCGCGCATAAGTCACACAGTAGATGATTTTTATTGGGTTTCAATTTACTAGCTGACAATTCACGGGCAATTCTTGTCACAAATTGAGTCCAAGTTCAGGTCGACTTTCTGACATTTTGTTAAATGTTCAACTTAAGATTTTTTATGAAGTATAGTGAATATGAGGTGGTTTGTACATTTTTCAAAGTTTTGCTAGCAAATGTAGCACAGTATATCTAACCATACTGCTACTATATGAACGCTCACAATTAGAAATTCGTATATATATATATATATATATATATATATATATATATATATATGGTGATTTCACATATAAATAACAGTTAATGATGTTTCTGTTTTCTCATGTATTTACTTGGGAAAGCATCTGCTCTGAACATCCTGTACTTGAGAAATATCCTTAAACCGTAGTGATGTAATCCAACGTTGTTTCCATGCTAGCTCAACTCCCTAAAAAATTTTTTATCGCTGTTCAATCACCCAGTTTTGCACTTCCCATAATTTTGCTTTTTTTCTTAGCCAAAATTGTCTCGCAGTAGTGCAAACTATGAAAATTCCTCTGTTACTTCAAAATTAGGATGGATTTTTGATTTACTACATAAATTATCTCGAAGTTATCATTTCCTTATGACGATTGAAAGGAGATCGCTGCAATATTCTTAAACTTCCATAGTACGACTTTTCGAAATCATTCCTTGCACTCTTCAACGCCATACCATTCCTCAAACTCCGTTCTTTGTACCGGTTCGGCAACTTAGGCAGGCGGGTTCATTGATTCCTTTCTGAATATGAACTTTTGATGTACAAGTTTGACGCATGTTTACTATTTCCATGGGACAGATATAATATAGTTTTTCTTCAATAAATAAGGTGGTGATGCAAGCTTAGCGATGCTGCGTTGCTTTTGGTCGTTGCTATATAGATGACCTTACCTTCTGGATTTAGAGATAGAAGTGGTCATTAGCTGGCTGTGATGAATATGACCGTAAAAAACAAAGCATTGCGCTACCAGTTTTGTTACCTGCATTAATCAGATCGCTGTAGATCTTAGATAAAAGCAGCTGCATAGCAACATCATACCAAAGAATTTCCTCTTGAACTATGCAAATGTTTTTGTTTTGAGCCATCATGTTGTTCGATGAAAATAAAATATGAGCACTATGGACAAGTTGGAAACGCATTTTTCCTCATCATTTCCCCGTCTATTTTGTTTTTATTTTTAATTTCTCGCCAGATAATTCTAATTTCTGCAGTCGTTCTTCGTTTCAATATGTTGCAACTACTGATGATAGATTGCTTACCGCGATACGGTCTTTCGATGTTCATCTGAAGAATGAGCAAGCAACTTACATTATGTGCAGATGGTTACAGCAGATCAGATTTTATTGTGTATGGAAATAAAGTGTTTCGTGCGCTAATATTGTATAGTTTGTTCAAAAACTTCTAGCTGCTGTGGTATGTATTAAAGCGCTCCTTTAATCCATAATTTATAAGACCAGTGTGGGTATCACGGCTTTTTCGACTACTATTTCCGTAGGTGCTTTTGCATTGTTGAATGAAGGTATATTTCTTGATAGTTCTTGGACAAGAAATCAAGGTATTCGGAACGTGAGAAACATAAAACTCTAAAAAGCTTTCGGCGTTGATCAATCCTTGAGGGATACACCAAACATTCCACTTCATTAAGTATCGTTGAAGGTGACTGGATGCATATCTGGCCTTTACAATGACTCGCGATGGCCTGCCCGTGTATCGAGCCATTGCTGTTATCCTCCTAGACAACGCTGGTACCAATTTGCCGACCTCGGAGGGATGGAAGGCTTGGTGGGCCATGGGCTCGGGGATCGATTCCACGTGTTTGTCGCAGTGGCGCCTCCAACCACTGCGCCACGCGCCCGTGAGAATCATGCTACTCAGTTATGTTCTTAGAGCTCATACAGAGCTCATGCGGCTTAATTCCCAATGTCTTTCTCTAGAAAGGAATTTCATTGCCAAAAGTATTTTAGCTGACTGGAGGTATGCCTTCAATTTTGTGGTTAGAGAATATGCCTGTTACCAGACCGGCTGCTTTAGAAGAGAAATAGGGTATCGGATGTGATCCATGTCATTTCATAATATCGTAAGGTAGTTTAATAACGAGTGAACAGCTTAGTCGTATTCAGTAGTAGAAAGCGCCTGTTATGTAGAAGAATAATCGTGCAAAATATGAATTCAGGCACAAATGTTACGAAAATCAATCCGTTTGCGTTCCGGACGACATCGCAACAACGGCGACCCGAACGCCGTTGGTGGATAGTCGTCGCGAGGTGGATTGCGTTTTGCGTCACGAAGTCGCCTTCGAACAGATGTCGTTGTACCACTGGCGACACCTGAAGACTGTCGGCGAATATTCGAGCTCGGCATTCACATCAGCAGAAGGCTGGAAAGAACTCTTGACAGGTACACATTATAATATATCTACTTCGACACTTAGACGGTTCTTCCTCGATGGTTGTGGTGCTCCAGCACATTGTCTATTTCTCGGAGTTTTGCTAGGTTAGCCACTGTGTTCCCTGCAGTCCCGAGGTCAGCAGGTCATCGTCTGCCGCAGGTCATTATCAGCACAGGCTTTCGCCGCCCTTGTGCATCAGAGGAGGATCTCCGACCGTGCGACTAGTTTGATACCAGAACGGTGGTCAGTCCTGGTGTTGCTTTACTCTTAGCTGGGCTTCCTGATGGAAACGCCGGACTTCTCAGCATGGAAGGCTTTGCTGGGAGTTGAGTCCCCTCTGCGTACATCGCAGCCCGACACCCAAGAACACCTCCCAACCACGATGAGGCAGGAAACCGTTGGGAGGCGGGAGGCATTATAATATAATTAACGATGATAACGCAACTTAAAGCTGCTCAATACTTTTGGACATGAGAATTAGTGCAAAGTATCCGTCTTATTTACGGAATTTTGGGGGTTCATAGGTTTTCCGTTTTGATTACCAGGTTTTTCCGAACGTAGATTCAATGTGCATTGAAATGTTGAGAAGGAGACCTCGACGAAAAAGAATGCTTTGTCAAGGTCGAGCGTAGAATTGAGATGAGTGGGAAATGTCACAAATCGCTGACATTTGTGTGTCAATCAAAGTTATGGAGAACAGTGACAACTCTTATTATTATTACAGTTTTAAATGGCGAAATAATTTCACCGACTCGGCTAGATTTGAGTGCTTGTCCATACCATGTGCACATGGCCGAAAATCTTGTGTGAAATCTCAAAACATAGTTGGCAAAGTGTCCTTCTTGGACTTTGTTCAGGAGCTCATTATTGTTGTTTCTTTGTTTCTATACACGGTACCAGTTTTTATTTATAAGCAACAGTAATATACGGAGATGGTTTGTCTCTTACGTGATGATGTCTGCGAATGTTTGGCCACAGTTCAACAGTATCCATCCGGGTTGACATGAGCGACGAAATCGTTCACTCATCCTTTAAGTGGTCTGTCTAGAGAATGCTCGCATCATCTTGGGATCCACTCCATCTTTTCCGTTGTCCATCTAGCATGTTCTCTTCTGATCGCGTGAGACTATTTATTTTTTCCCTCTAGCTAATGTACAGCATTGCGCTATGGATGTTCAATATTTCTCGGAGCTATCCACTCTCAGCTGTATAATCTTTACCTTGCCGCACTAGATCAGTAGTGCAGAAGTTTCTCGATAAGGTTGTTGTGTGAAACTTCTGTGAAAAGTTTTAGAATTTTTTAAAAATTGGAAGAAGGACGAGTTACAAATGGAGGAGAGCAATGGTTGTATTTTTGAGTAGAACAGGTAAGCGCATAGTTTGAGATCACTCGGTCGGTCGATCGCTATCATGGAAGGTCCGAAATTAGAACACACCGTTTTTCCTCAGGTGCATTCCTTATGAACTTGGCTTTCTGATGTTTCGCAGTTCTGTTTTTTATCCACTGCGTTGAGTGCCTTGGACATCATCCCTAATTAACTGTAGTTTTTTTTTGAAAAATGACAATTTTATTGGACAAAGCGTTTTGTGGGAAATGTGTATCAATGCATACGCTCTTTTCACAATGAGTGGGCTTTGGTAGCAGGTTCGACAATATGGTGTGGTCTTGCAGAGTTCAAAATGTGATATAAACCTTACTCGTGGTGTCACAATGAAATTGTGAAATCAGTCGGTAATTTTTACTTACAAGTATGTGCTCTTTCGTCGATAAGCATGGAGAGATGAGCGTTATTTCCAAACTTTTCACTTGGCAGTGGGGTGCGCGACGCATCAGGTGAATTGTTAAGATCATAATTACTCCTGCCGAGGTTATGTCAAACTCGGTTGCGAAAATATGAGTCACTTTGCGCTAGTTGGTACTGCTTTGGCTGCAACAGTGTTGTCATAAAGAAAATAGGTATCCTTTAGTAAATAAACGAGCCATTCTATTGAAAAGGTATCCATTGACATTATTTCATTTTGGGTAATTCTACTCTGAGTTCTACTCGATACCATTATGAAAGCCTACATACTATCGAAAGCAACTACATTATG